TTTGTATTTTTAATAGAGACAGGGTTTTGCCATGTTGGCCAGGCTGATCTTGAACTCCTGGCCTCAAGTGATCCACCTGCCTCAGCCTCCCAAACTGCTAGGATTACAGACACGAGCCACTGCACCCAGCCAGAAAAATGTTTCTTTTAGTGTACTTAACATTTTCTTGGGAGAAGGGGGGGCACTGTATATGTATGAACTGTATATTCATGCACCCACATGTGTGAACTATATGTTTTATGTTTAAAATATGAATTCTAAAACATAAGCAGATTTTTGTAGGAATATAAATTGATAGAAATACTACAAATTCATAAACAATGTGGCAGATAGCAGTGAGTTATGATGGACATTACATTAGAGGTATGCTTAGGTTGCTGCTTAAGAATAGACCCCAGAGTTATGCCCCTGTGGTTTCAACTGGATAGTTTCCCCATCTGTGACCCATAGTGAATTTTTTCCTAGCTTCTGGATGGTAGAAATCATTAAGCATTTTGTGCCCTGGAAAATACATGTCAAATATGATCTTTATATACATATGAGTGAGCTATAGAAGAGCCACTTAACTATCCTAGCTAATGCTATTTGATTGAAAAAGTCATAACAGATTACTTTTTATAGGAGTTGGCCCATGGATTAAGTGAACTCTTATCACACGAAGGCAATGTTGAAGAAGATTTCTATTCAACATTTCAGGTACTGTTAAGGGCAAGTAGTTATCTGTTAATTATAAATTTCATATGTGAACAATGCAATTTGTTATTAAATACCCACTGTTAGAAAAGATGAACAAGGATTAACCAATACATACAATCCTCTGTCTTAAAGGACCTTAACCTGATAAAGTAGACACGTGTAGACGAGCAGTCAGTGAAAGTGCTTAATGAAATTCACTAAGGGTCAGGCTCTCTAGGCAATTACATATCCCCTTGAGTTGGTTACTTTCTCAGAGCTTTTCCATTTCTAAAAATAAGCCTCTCCTCTAGCTTCAACATTAGAAGTTAGGAATATAAACTAATGGTTCAGAACAAAACTCTCTCATTTCCACTCCTTTTACAATATTTGGAAAATGGAAATTACAGTGATCTACAGAGCTCCAAAGACTCGCATATTATCTAGATGACCACACAAGTTTTGTGTGCTTCATTAAAGTATTTAACTGTATAGGCAGGGTTAAGTTAAGGCACTATTTTTTAACCCTATAATTCTTTTATGACCCCTTGTTCTTAATACAAGAAGCTTAATATTACAAGAGCTTAAGGTTTTTTATAGTTTATGTGTTTAGAAGGGAGGGGAAAAATCTGTTCTTTTTAAATTTACACATCTGTTCATCAAAGTCTGTTATTATATCAACCATATTAATATGTGTGATGGCATCTCCCATCAGGTTTTCCAAGAAGAATTTGGAATAATCAAGTCCTATAATTTAAAGCCAGGTGGTGATAAAATTTCAGTTACCAATCAAAATAGGAAAGGCAAGTTAATACCATTTTTAATTAAAATGAATTCATATTTGCCATTTGCTTTTACTGTTTAACAGATGTAAAATTGCTTTTCAGAATATGTACAGCTTTATACTGACTTCCTTCTGAACAAATCCATCTATAAGCAGTTTGCTGCATTTTATTATGGATTTCATAGTGTGTGTGCTTCAAATGCCCTAATGGTGAGTTTAAAACTTTAAATCGAGCTTTAAGTTAAGTTTTGTAATACTATCATGTTAACAAATAATTATTAAATATGTTAGTAGATAAGCTTTTAAAATGGAAAATATTTTCTACTTTTTAAAAGTAGAACTAATAACAAAAATAGTTCTCTCATTTCAGCCTTAATTCTCTAGAGGGGAAAAAATCCAGTCAGTTCATTTTTTCTCCCCCTCTACTACGTCTTCTAGAGCTTTACAAACTTTCTCCAAGTAGAGTGGATAAAGGGGTCCATGGACTGTATCTTAATACTGAAGGACAGGGCACACCACACAGTTAACATGTAGCTCCAGGGCAAAAGCCACAACTCCTTAATAATTAAGGAACATATGTATAGCTGCTTCCTGCTACTACCTGAGGGCTCCCTCAGCAACTCTGAGTTGCCTTTTACCCTTAGCAAGTGGTTTATCTCAAGAGTTATGGTGGACTCAGATTGGTCTGACTTGTCTTAGCCATGTAAATATGAGTCAGCTACTATTTAGAATACCATGTCAGAAGTATCATAGGGTACCTTTCAGTCACCCCAGCTACCCAGGGCACACTTCATCATGCCACTTGTATCTCCCTTAGTTTTATCATGAGAAATATTATCATAATCTTATAATAAGAATATCTCTTATTATGAGAGATTGGAGTAAGGTCTTTCTTTTGAATTTTCTTAATGGGAGAGAGAAATGGACTATAGAAATTGCTTTGGGGCAAAAGCAAGTGGCTTACATTATTGCCAGCTTGTTTTAGAGAAACCACTGTAAATATGTTTGTTGTTGAAAATACCTTTGAAAAAGAAACACTTTATTAAGGTCTAGTTTTGTTTATGACACTCTGGTAGTTGTGGGAGTGGACAGAGGGAAAATAAGAACTAAATGGCATAGCATGGTCTGTTTTTAGAACTTTAATTTCTATAGACGGTAGACTAACCCATCTAAAAGGTGAAAAAACAAGGAAGAGAGACACAAGACAGACTATAACCAAGTACCCATACTCTACGGTGCACACAGGAGGTGTGAGATATTGGAAGGAGGTAGGTGGATCAGTAAATGTTGGAGCTTCATGCAGGATTTTGGAGAAGATTAATTTGGAGTTGTACAAAGTTGTTTGCTTGTTTTTCTGGCAAACTGCTAATTACTATTTTACAGTATCTGTAAACTTCAGAAGCAAAAATATCTTGCCTTGGTAAGAAAAATATACCCAGAGATTTTTCTTCAACAAAAATGGTTTGATTTACTATGAGAAGTCATGACTTTTGTGATTTGATCCAGTGAAAATAGTTACAATTTCACTTAAAACCATAACTCTTTAATTATTGTTTTTGATAATTATTGGCAGCTGCTTCGTCCTGAAGAGGTTGAAATTTTGGTCTGTGGAAGTCCTGACCTGGATATGTATGCTCTGCAGAAAAGTACTCAGTATGATGGCTATGCAAAAACGGACTTAACTATAAAGTGAGCTCTTTATACTTCTGATAGTGGGGATGTGGAGAGGGAACAGAAGAGAGTGTGCTTCATCTGTTTGAGTAACTTAACAATATTTGAATCAATTAAGTTAGTCGAAATATTAGAGAGCCCCACGTTCTTATTTTATCTCTGGAAAGTCTATGAGAATTTTAATATGAAATCACTATTTGGAGAAAATTCCAAAAACAAATTTCTACAAAAGTGTAGAGATTTTGTTTTTAAAAAAATGACTTTGCTCCTAGAATTTCATGGATGCTGTCCTTACAAATAACAGTTTAATAGCACTGTGTTGAAAAATCAGACTTGAAAGTTTTACAGGAGAAAAATGGTTCCTTTACTATCTACTGCTGAACTACTTATATACTTTTATAAAAATATTATAATAATGTAAAGTCTAATACATATATAGAAACTCACCATTCCTTAATTTTACATTCAGCATAATATGTATGTTTAAGAAAGGTCTTTTCCTTAGAGCTTCCTTTATATTATTTTATTATAGGATTTTTATCAAGACATTTGATGTAAATTTCCTTTGGTATTCTCTAGATACTTTTGGGATGTCGTGCTTGGATTTCCTCTTGATCTTCAAAAGAAGTTGTTACATTTTACTACAGGGAGTGACAGAGTACCTGTAGGAGGGATGGCTGATTTGAACTTTAAAATCTCAAAGAATGAAACTTCTACTAACTGGTAAATTTCTGAATCTAATTTTATTTTAAATCTGAAGGTTTCTGGAAATACTACTAATAATACATTTGGAATCAGGAGATTTATTTCATTTGAAGTTATTTTCATACAAAAATCTTCAGAGTAAACATGGCCTTGAAATGTAAGAGATTTTGAATAAAAGTTCTCTTACTAGTTTTTGAGACATACTAATACTAATAATTCATTTCTAACAATTTTTTACTTTGCTAGGACATAAGTGCTTCATTGTCTCTTTTATAGCCTAGTTACTTTGTATTATGTTGTCTAATATTCATTTTTATTTAAAAGTGAAATGTGTTTTTTATTTTTAGGAAAATCATTAAGTTGGGATATATGGTTTGTTTGTAGAGTTTTCTTTCTTTTCTGGAGTGGGCAGGGGGGATACTGTAAGTAGTACCAGAAGTGCCTCTAATACTAGTCCTCTTTTTTTTTTTTTAATCTCATGCTTTTTGTATATGAAGTGATGATGATGATGGATTTAAATTATTTTCTAGCAGTGTTAACTGCATTAATGCTTATCAGCTTACTCCTTTTCCCAAATAACTTATCATTTCTAAAGCTAATTTGAATAGACATAACTTTGATTATAATCATTTTTTTCTCCTGACCCATACCTTGAACATTCCCTGAGTGCTCTCAGTTCTTCCTTTCATTTTAAAACTGGAATCTGTTCTTTGCCTTTCCGCTGCCTTCACCCTGGTAAAGTTACTTTTTATCTCATTACTAGCTTATTTTATCCTATTAAACTCATGTTCTTTAACACTATTTAGATCATATTTCCCTGGGCAATAACTTTATTGCCAGTTTAAGTTCTAGAATCTAGAGACTGTAAAATAAAGCTCTAGTCTTCTACCCCATGCTACCTCCCAGTTTTCATTTCTTCCCATGCTTTAGTTAACAGGCTGTTTTGCTAATTCCTTAGATATATTTTATGCCTTTTTTTTTTTCATGCTTTCCAGTTGTTCACTTTACATGTGACATGTGCCAGCTACCACTATTAAAGTCACAGTTTAATGTTGACTTCCTCTGTAAAGCCAAATGTTATTATGTCTTCAGTAAGTTTTGCAAATATATTGTAGAAATTATGTGCTAGTTATCATATTGTACTTTATATCTGAATCATTTAGTTCTTCAAGGCAGAGGTTATGTCCAATAGCTGTTTTTTGAATAGTATTTATATAATCATCAAGATTATATTTAAAACACAAAATATTTATATATAATTTAAAATTTTCAATACAGAATTTATAATTAAAGTCCTAAAATGAAAAAATTTAAGAGACTTAAAAGTTCTTACTAGTTTAAAAAATAATTCAAGAGATTTTTTTAGATTATAGATTTATTTGCTTAAAAGAAATTAATATTTTAGAATATTTTGTATTTAAAACATTTTCAATTTTAAAAGAGTAATATATTTTAATACAAAGGTGACATTACTTCCAAACTTTCCCAATAATTATTATTATTTCAAGAATATGTGAGCTAACATGGCTTCAACATGAATCCAGAACAACTCTGGGATTCCCAGTGGAATCTCACATATATTAAATAAAACTGACCATCAAAAACAGAACATTTTGACCTGACACCATAATGGTATGCCTCGAAAGACAAGGACAACACTCCACCTGAAAGAGGAGTTTCTATTCATCTTATAAGGCCCACCATAGCAGGTTCACTGGATTTTTGTTAAATAAGAATGATAATTTCATTAAAAAGTAGGCAAAGGACACAAAACAGATACTTTCCAAAAGAAAACAACATGCAGCCAACAAGCATATGAAAAAATGCTCAAGATCACTAATCGTTAGAGAAATGCAAATCAAAACCACAATGAGATACCATCTCGCAGTGGGCAGAATGGCTATTATTATATTAAAAAATCAAAAATAGCAGATCCTGACAAGGTTCCAGAGAAAAGGGAATGCTTATACACTGCTGATGGGAATGTAAATTATTTCAGCCATTGTGAAAAGCAGTTTGGAGATTTCTTAAAGAACTTAAAACAGAACTATCATTCAACCCAGCAGTTCCATTATTGGGTATATACCCAAAGGAATATAAATCATTCTATCATAAAGACACATGCATGCATATGTTCATTGCAGCACTATTGACAAAGCAAAGATTGGATTTAAAAAATGTGACACATATATACCACGGAATACTATCCGCCAAAAAAAAAAAAAAAAAAAAAGGCAAGATAATGTCCTTTGCAGCAACATGGATGGAGCTGGGGGCTCCATCCTAAGCAAACTAACACAGGAACAGAAAACCAAGTACCACATATTCTTATAAGTGGGAGCTAAACATTAGGTACATGTCAACACAAGGAAAGGAATGACAAACACTGAGACCTGCTTGAGGGGGTAGGGTGGGAGGAGGAGAAGAATTTTAAAAACTACCTATCAGGTACTTACTTATCACCTGAGTGATGAAATAATCTGTACACCAAACCCTCATGACATGCAATTTACCTTACATAACAAACCTGCACATGTACCCTGAACCTAAAATAAAAGAGGAAAAACATGTTGTATCTCAACTCATTAGCAGTTAATGAAGCAGAGAATAACAGGAGTCCAGAAAAGAGAGTGAACAGCATCAGTGAAAAGGGCCAAGAAATGAGAACATAATAATGGGCACAATGAGCCAGTGCAGGATTTCAACTTTAAATTCATAGATAAGACCAGATGCCTTCTCCCAGTGCCTCTTAGAATGAAGTCCATGGAGAATGTAATCTTCAGTCATTAATTGTATTCAGAATGCTTTTTTCCCCTAAAAGGGCATGAACCTTTGGCAATATTTTGTGGTTATCCTGATTCTTTAGTAGAGTGTAATGTAGATTGGCCAAGATAGCAAAGCAAATTTCAAATTACATCCTTTTCCATCTCTGCTTGTCCTTAAGCAGCTTCTTTTGTAAATCATCCTGTCAAGCTTAAAAGATATACACAATTTGGTCCTGCACGCCATCAAATACATGTTACTGAAGCCTCTGATAGATTAATATAATCCAGGACATAAGTTTTCTTCAATAAACATTTCCGTAAGATGGTCTTATGGTAGAATCTTGACATTGTTTTCTTTCAGTTTTAAGAGAGTTTGTATCTAGGTAGACGGGTATTAAATAAACTTGGAAAGCTCAGCCTTAACAGAAAGAAGAGAAAACAAATGTTTTAAATAACTCGGGAAATGTTATTGAATGGATGCATGAGACACTTGTATAAACGTAGGTTGTTGTGTAGCTTAGGACCTTGTAAACAGAAGAGCACTTTGGAAAAAATTATACTAAAAAACTGACTTGGCATTTTCATTTTTTCTTTGCTTTGTTATTTGATGATATTTTTACTTCATACAAATAAAATGTATATCTGATGTATAAAAAATAAGAATGTTAAATCTTACATATTAACAACACTAGTTTTTTAAGTCAGACTAATCTGGGTTTGAATATTGGGCCTACATCTTTGCCAGCTCAATATCCCTGAACAGATTACTTGTATATTTACATGTCTATTTTTCCTCACCAATAAAATGAGAACAACCACATTTAGATTGCTTTGAGGCTTAAATTAAAGGAAAAAATACATGTAAATGCACTCAGTTCAGTGCTTATCATAGACCAAACACTGAGCAAATGCTGATTCTAATAGTTTTAAGTCTTTTAATAAATTTTAAATTATACAAACTTCTTTAAATTTTTTTTCCTTTTCTGTAGTGTATTCCCATTTTTACTCATTGACTTCTCTGACAGCTGTTCTGATGCTGGGAAGTATATAAGGACTGAAGGAGTCTTAAGATAGCTGTAAAAATCCTAAATGATGGTAATAACATCATCAGATAGTTGAAAGAGATGACCAAAGGGATTGGGTTGGGGGAGATGACCAAAAGGATTCAGAAGATAATTGTTACATGTGCATCAAGGGGCATCTAGTGTCCCCAGAATGATCTTTTTAAAATTACTTTTTAATACTAAAAACCGGACTATAGTATCATTCATTATATTATCTACTCCTCAGCTGCTAGGTGTTTTATGTAGATTACCCTTTTAATCTTGTAAACCATCAGTCTTCAACCTTTTTGGCAGGGATTGGTTTTGTGTAAGACAATTTTTCCACAGAACCAGGGAGGAGCTGGGAGAGTGGGAGGTGGTGATGGTTTTGGATGAAACTGTTGCACCTTGGGTCATCAGGCAGTAGATTCTCATAAAGAGCATGCAACCTAGATTCCTTGCATGCGCAGTTCACAATAGGGTTCTTGCTCCTATGAGAATCTAATGCTGCCACTGATCTGACAGGAGGCGAAGCTCAGGCAGTAATGCTCGCTGGCCTGCTGCTCACCACCTGCTGTGCGGCCCAGTTCCTAATAGGCCTCCGACAATGGTACCCATCTCTGGCCCTGGGGTTGGGAACTCCTTGTTAATAAACAGCCTGATTAGGTTATTAGACAGCCTAATTGGATGGTTTGCCCTATCATGTTGATGAGGAAACTAGGATTTGGGGATATTACACAACTCAAACTCAAGATAGTAAGTGGGGAAAGCAGAATTCAAATTCATATCTGACTCCAACAAAATGCTCCTTAAATGAGTTTCAAGAAGGTGGTAACATTGGTTGTCTTTGTCTTGTCTGTAACCATAGCCTTAGTGTGTAGAGTGGTGCCTGATACATAGTTAGGTACTCAGTAATTATCTGTTCAGTGAAGGAATGGATGAATCATTTCTTAACAGAGTGAAATAGATTTGAATGTGTGTGTCCTGGTATTTTTTGAAGTTGCATAACAGTCATTTCGTGTGTATTTTAAGACTTAGTTTTGTTTTTTTTTTTCAATTTTTCCCTAGGTTACCTGTGGCCCATACCTGCTTCAATCAACTTTGCCTTCCCCCCTACAAGAGCAAAAAAGACCTGAAACAGAAATTGATCATTGGAATTTCAAATTCAGAAGGTTTTGGACTTGAGTAACCTAGAAGACTTGAAATACAATCTTTTATATGTAGCATTCACTTCCCTCTTACTGTGCCTTTAGCCTTTTCATGTTTCTGTCTCAACACTTTCACAAAGCTCACCAACTTTAAATTATTGAGTTTTTAAAAAATCAAATATGAAGTATGTTCAACAAAGGCATAATTTTGTAAAAACACAGAAATTGCTTGAGTAAGGAAAAGTTCACATGGCAGAGACAGGTATGGTCCAGTTCCTCTTTTTTTATAGCACTTTATCATTCTCTATACATAGTTTGTCACAGGCATTCCACTGGGAAAGCAAAGTGCAGTGAAGAATGAATTTATGGTATCGTTGTACCCAGTGGCAGATTGTACACTGCTAGCACACAGTAGCAAAACAAACAGCTACATTATCTTTAACATAAGGCATGTAGCCATATTTTCATATAGCGGTAAACAACACAGTATCATTGCAAATACAGTTTACAGGGTTTTTTGATATACTGGCTTGGGACCTATAAGATTCTTTTCAGCTATTGCTGAAAAGCATGTAAATAATTACATAATAGCCTGAGAATAATGGGATTTTGATAGTGCCATTTATTGCTAAAGATTTATTTTTACAAAGTAAATTCAGGGTTTTAGATGTGTACACAGCTTTTACATATGTATAAAGATGATTGTACAAGAGTATTTTCAGACTAATTGGATTCAAGGTTATATTCTTGTAAGTGCTGTTTGTCTGCATGCACACTGGCAGTAAACTAGTCACTTGTGTACTCTGTAATATTTGTATAATGATCATTTCTTCTTAAGGGTCAAGATATAAGAAAAGAAATCAGATCTAAATAATCATTGATGAATTATGTCAGTTACAAGCACAAAAAAAATAACTGCTTTTATAAATATTTTGAATGATGTACAAGACTTATGTCTACATTTTTTGCTCACCAGTTATACCGAAACACTAATTTTTGAAAAAGGTAGGTTAAAGCATTTGACAAAAGTGAATACAATAATAACATTTGTGTCAAAATGATATAACTTGGTATAAAAATAAAATTCAAAGTTTTGGCCAAAATGTTTGTTTTTCACTGGATTCTGAATATAATAAATTCAAAGTACCCTTTTTTTTACCATTTCTAATAAAGTAGTATGTAAAAATAAACTTCATTTTAAGTCAGACAGTACATTTTTTTAATTTACAGCAAATGAAGCAGTTTTATTAGCATGTTAGAAATATTAGCAAACCAAGACTTCGCTACTATACTTTGACAGCTTTCCTTCAGAAAACTCTGAAGTTATATTTGCAATAATAATGAAACCAGCATTTAGTACCAGCATATGGTTCATGTGCAAATAATACTTTCCCCAAAATCTTTCTGGGCTAGGCTATTTTGTTGCTATGCTTCCTGCACCCAACCAGCAGAATTCTTCCAGGGTGAAGGAACTAATCAGCTTGTTCTCCAACAGTTCGGAAGCCAACCCACCAATCTTTGAGGAAAAGGAGTCACTTTGTTTACTATTCTCTTGGAGATGGAAGTGATTCTGCTTTTCCACTTGGGTATATTATTTCAAGAGTATTTCTTCTTAAAAATTTTGGAAAGACTAAGCGAGTAAAGGCATCCTGGTTTTGTTTCATTTTGTTCTGTTTGAAATCTGTATGCAAATAAAACTGCTTCTCTCTTACACTGCTTGAATTAGAAAATCAGCTTTTTAATGTAGGTTACCTCTTATAAGCACAAGAGAATCATGTATAAGAAACCAGATTTAAGTGTTTTAAATAAAATATAAACAGTTTTTATTTGGTAGAGATGACTCATGGAAAAATTGTGTTGGCTTGGTCTGCATGTTTAATGATGTGCTTGTGTATCCATTGCTGTGTCACTTTTAAATAAGAAGTCCACACAAGCAAGCCAAATTTTTTAATGACAAAGTCTATAAATAGAGAATTTTTGTTATCTGTTGTTAAGTTGAAATTTATAATCATTTATCACAAAATTGCACATTGCCTTTATTTATGCTCTGTTTTTGGTTTACAGTGTAATAATACCTCATTTAAAAAGTAAAAACCACTACTGTTACATTTTGTTAATTTAAAAAGCTAGAAAATTCATGTAGTTACTTTTTTACATATGTAATCTGTTGATGAATTCCTGATTTTTGTATCTGCCATAGTAAATTAAAGCATTACACAGTATTTATCAGTATTTTTTAAATGTCCTCTCCTTTTTTAAAATCTTTGCTTAGTCATATTTTTGTCTGTATGATTAGAAGTTTTTAAGTCCTTTTTTGTACAAGTCTGTATTAAATTAATTTCTAGATGAAATTTTTCAAATATTAAAATTATATAGTCAGTCAGGCTTCAGTTTATTTATTTAACACTGGGCAATTATAACCATATGTTTAAAATATTTTATAAATGCAAGCTATTCTTTGCATTATAATGTCTCTTAAACTAGTGCTTAGGAAAACTCATTATATTATGAATTTTTAATGTTAATCCATAAAATATCATTATTATTTTATGTAGATGATGTCTAGATTTAACCATACATTTACGGTTTCTTCACACACCATTCCCTCGTCTATGATCCTTCACCCACCTCTGAGATCAAATTTCTTCCTCCTAAAGAACATCTATTAGAAATTCTTTTAATGAGGGTTGGTTGCTAGCAAATTATTTTAAGTAACTGTTGCCTTTATTCATGAAAGATTCATTAAGCATACATTTGTAGGTTGATGATTGTTTTCTCTTAAAGTTTTTAATATATTAATCCATTACCTCTGATTTTGTTGTTAGTATAATTATATGTCTTGGTAATCTCTCTTTTTCCTCTGGCTACTTTTTTTTTTCTTCTTCTTACTTGCAATTATATGTTTACTTCTGACATATCTATACATTTTTTCTTTTTTCTTTTAATATTTTTTATTATAGGATTTTGGGAAACATGGTAATTGGTTACATGAGTAAGTTCTTTTTTTTAAGTTTTTAATTTTTTTGGGGGGGGGATTCAAGATTTTTTTTTTAATTGTACTTGAGGTTCTGGGGTGCATGTGCAGATCATGCAGGATTGTTGCATAGGTACATACACGGTAATGTGGTTTGTTGCCTCCCTCCCCCATCACCTGTATCTGGCATTTCTCCCCGTTATCCCTCCTCAACCTCCCCATCCCCCCCACTGTGCCTTCCCTGGCCCCCGTCAACAGACCCCAGTGCGTGACGCTTCCCTCCCCGTGTCCATGTGTTCTCATTGTTCAACACCCACCTATGAGTGAGAACATGTGGGGTTTGATTTTCTGTTCTTGTGTCAGTTTGCTGACAATGATGGTTTCCAGATTCATCCATGTTCCTACAAAGGACATGAACTCATCCTTTTTTATGGCTGCATAGTATTCCATGGTGTATATGTGCCACATTTTCCTTGTCCAGTCTGTCATCAATGGGCATTTGGGTTGGTTCCAGGTCTTTGCTATTGTAAACAGTGTTCCCTGGCTACTTTCAAGATTTTTTTTTTCCCAAAAAAATGGTAGAACATCAAAGACAACATGTGTATGTGTGTATTTTTTCTCCCACTTGAGATTCATTATGGCTCTTGAACTATAGATTTGTATCTTTCATCAATTATGGAAAAATTCTGCAGCTGTTTCCTCTTTGACCATTATTGCTTTTTCCTGTTCTAATTTTTTCTGTTGAACATATGTTGAACCATCTCATTCAATCCTTCCATCTCTTTCTCTGTATGTAATGTGTTGTTTAACTGGCCCACTGAGTTTTTAATCTCAGTGGCTCCATTTTTTAGTTTCTAAAAATTATTTTGGTTTCTTTTCAAATTCACATGCTCTTTTTCCATACCATTTCTTCATATAGTTTTCTTTAATAATTTTGGCATACTTGTTTAATGTTCTCTGTTAAATTATTCTACTCTCGTTAGTCCTTGAAGTACTCATTTTTCTATTTCTTCCATTGTCTCACAGTGGTTTATTTCCTTATGTGATCTGTAATTTTTAATTTTACTTTTCTGTTTAAAGGATGATCTTTTCCTCTGGGCATCCTGTGTGTCCTGAATACTGTAAGTAGCCTAGCAAAGCAGTTTCATGTTGGTCTCAACCAAAAACAGATTTCCTACAGATTTTTATGTCAGCTTCTTCAATTAGAATTCCTTTTCCACTTGTGTAAATTTGGACCCCACACTTACAGTGGCACAGTTGGGATTTATGTGTAGAGTTCTTCTGTCTTCTTTTCATAGACACAGCAACCCTTCTAAGTAGATCTAGGATTTATGCAAGAGAATTAGTTTTGGCTCCTCACCTTGAAGACGCCTACAACACGCCTTTTGAGCTCATGTGGACATTAAAATCCATTAGAGATCTCATCATGATGTATCACCCTAATATCAGCACCTGCTTCCTATTTCTGGCTTATCATTTCTTCCTTATTTCCCATATCTATTTCCCTTCCTTTCAAGCTTGAATATATGTGTGTGTGTGTGTGTGTGTGTGTGTGTGTGTGTGTTCAAAATTTATAAAAGTTTATAGTAACAGATGGCCTCTTCCATTTCAGCTTGGTCTATAGAAGCATGCCCATTGCACTAATGTTTGCTAATTGTTTAACACTTGGTTATTGAGTGCCCATATTTCAGGAGGCTAATCCTCAGCTTCATAGTCACATATTCTTTATAAACATAAGCAGCAGATTTAATTCTGAATCTTATGAAATCTTAAATGTGTATCATAGCAAGAAAATTTCCTAAGGGTTTTCATGACAATTATGCAACTCAATGTTTTCATGCACTTTAGAGATTATAAAAACTTGTGCATACAGTAGAAGCATTAGTCACCACTGAGTTAAGCTGGTAGGTTTTTCTGTAACCAGACTTTACTTTTTCTAAGTGTACTTGCACACACATACAAATTACAATGGAAATATACAGAATTATTTCAGGAGAGTTTCTCAAGCACAGTCTTGTGCTGTGTTTCCAATTTTATAGGCCACCTCATTTATAAGACTTTCAATATGCCCGCCTTGTCTATTCCTGCCACTGGCAATCTTAGTCTTCTAATTTCTTTGGTTTGTAAACATTGCTCTCATTTTGACTTTACCTTCTCTTTAACATCCATGTCAACAAGCTTAATCTTTACACTGTCCTACTCAATTTCTACAACCTCCTCCATGGTTTAGATATTCAACCCTCATAACTAACTTACTTCCCTGTCTGTAGACTTATTCTTTTCCCAGTTTTCCTAAGGTCCCTACAGTTAATCTTTATAAAATTTTATTTTTATTCTTTGCCTCCCTATTACAAATCAAAGATGTATCTGGTGCTTATTTCACCACCTTCTAACTGCAAAGCATAGCATAAGTTACACTTTTATTTTGCATAATTGATTTTTGTTCTCTTATATCCACTTCCAAAAGGATAGGTCCTTTACTGACTCCTGAACACACCCCATTCAGTGCCATCTCTGCCTGCTCAACCTAGTGCCTTCTCTGGTCTTCTTTCTGTTCCTTTCCAACCAATGAACTCCTCCCTGTCTATTCCAACTCAGCTGAGTCTCCTGCCCTCCACAACCTCCCCAGACCAGAATTTTCTCTCCCCTGCCAAACCTTATCCTGAACCATCACCAACCCCCAAAACAAACAAACAAAAAACTAGCTGAAAGGCAAATCTTTTTTATACCCTTCACACTAATCTTCATTTCTCAGATGTAGTATTTTCACACTGGTGAAATGTGTGCATATCAGCAGCTCGAGAGCAGAGGTATTTCCTGTGTCCCTGCCTAGCACCTAGCAAAGTTCTGGGTCAGTAAACTCAGGTAAAATCCTGCCTGACTTCTTGACTTGATGTGGCAGGTGAAACACTCACCAAATCAGTGTAGTGAACCAGAGACCTGCATGGGTAAGTGGTTTCATCTTGAATTCATAGCCTGTTTCCCTGACTCACAGAAACCTGCTCACATCCCAACTTCATTCTCAGCAAACTGACACAAGAATAGAAAATCAAACACCACATGTTCTCACTCATAGGCAGGTGTTGAACAATGAAAACACATGGGCACAGGGAGGGGAGCATCACACACTGGATCTGTTGGTGGGGGCCAAGGGAGGGACAGCAGGGAGGTGGAGAGGTAGGGGAGGGATAATATGGAGAGATATGCCAGGTGTAGGTGACGGGGGGGATGGAGGCAGCAAACCACATTGCCGTGTGTGTACCTATGCAAAAATCCTGCATGATCTGCACATGTACCCCAGAACGTAAAGTACAATTAAAAAAAAAAAAAACAAACTTCCGTGTTTCAGCCTCTGGAAAATGCCTCTGAACCCCCACCCCAGGCCCTGTGTTCGCATCAGTCTTGGGCTACCTTTCCACTCCAAACTACACAGAGCCTCAACGTGCTCACCTCCAGTGATCAAGTTGCTCATTCATCGAAGCAAGCAGCAGTGAGTGGTGGTGGCCACTGTGCATTAACTGAGAAGGGAAAAAACAAAAAACAGGTTACGGGATAGCTTCATGGTACAATCCAAATTTTGAGTGTGTGTATGTGCATGAGACCATGCATATATGACTGTGTGTATACATATGTGTATGTTCTAAAAGGTTATATTGCACTTCGTTAACAATTGTTATCACTGAGATTATGCATGCTTTTACTTTTGCTTAATTTTTAGCCAGTACCTCAGGCATCTGTAGGATATTAATTAAAGGAACAGGGATAAATATTTATGGATCACTTAATGGTGTATGTGGCATTTTATGCACACAATTTTACTTTTCATTTAATCTTTATAACAGCAGCATAAAATTGATGTTATTTTCTCCATATTTCAGAGAAGTGAGTTGAAACTCAGGCCTAGAAGCCTGCCCAAGGTCACATAGCTATCAAGGAGCCCAGGCAGAATTTGAAGTCACATTTGTCTGACTCAAAACATCACAGTTTTCCATTTCACATGCTCTCCCAGCTAATGAGGATTTTCAGAAACTCCCAAGCTTGAACCATTCCACTGAAACTGGAGAAAACGTTTTCTTGCTGATTAGACTAGAAATCAGTCAATCTGGATTCTAGACCTAAATCTGACACTTAATGGTGTGTAACCTTGTATAATTTATTTACTTCCCTTTGCTTCTCTTTCTGCCTTCCGAAACAATTATGTATGTTCTTAGAATTGTAAAATATATAAAATAATTTCTTCTGGGTCAAGAGAGAAATTATGTCTATAGTAGTGACTACTTATAAAACCATGACAGTGAGTACCTGTATATCTGACTACCTGGGATATAGACAAAGCAGTATTTGTGGGGAAATCTATAGCTCGAAATGTTTTTATTACCAAAAATAAAATTAATGGATCAACAAG